CATATATTGATAGAACTCGTTTCACATCTACTATATATTAAAAGGGGAGATTTTTTAAGAATTAACATTTGATCTAATTTCATTGGAAATTTACTTGCATTGTCATTGGAGAATCTAGTAAAATCTAATGTTTGAAAAAATAGGGTAAAGGTACTTTTGGTAAACAACTTTATACTAGATTTCTACCATCCATGTTGCATAAACATAACTTTGGATTTATTTTAAGACATTAAATGGTTTTCACTTTATATAATAAACAGTCTAATACAGTAATAGTATACATGTAATAATAAAATTTCTTACATATGATAATAATTATCACAAGTATTTATAAATTTTTCAACAACTGTCGAGAAAATTAATTTACACTAACATTGTACCAATTGTTTTTAAATTTTTTTTGTTATCATCGCATATAACATGAGATATCATCTAGTGTATAGTTATTGAAGATAAAACTAAACTAAAAAGAATTTCTTCGAAGGAAAAAAATCATAAAGAAGAAGATCTTAAACTAAATGATACAGTATAGAATAGGATATCTCTAACGCATAAATTCTTATAATCAATTCTTCATATTTGTGAGGACTCTCAAACTATGAAAACGTTAAAATCGTATTTTTATTTTGATATGTCGATTTTTGGTAAAATATATATTAATTTTTCTGTTAAATTTTTTTATAAAGTATTAAGGTTAAGGATAATTAATCAAAATACCAAAACGTCAATTTAGAATAAACTCCAGATAGTACTATAGTAGTAGGACCTACGGTTTGAATTGGAGAGTCAACATGCTTTTCTAATTAGCCACCTCTCAGGACAATTCAGGTTTCCTTTAAATCGGCAATTAGTATTGTTATCCTAGATTTGTTTTGTAAATGTGAAAACTAATATCATCAATAAGCTTTAGTTCCAACCTTTGGAAACTTCCTTAGGAAAATAATTGTTTTAAAATCATTTAACTACTCCCGAGCTACATAAGTTTCATGATCATATCAAATTTCTCATAGACCGGCTACTACCTAACTACAGATAAAAACTTGAAAGTATTTTTTTTTTTTTTTATTGTCATTTGAAGTCAATTCGTGGCTAGATAAAATAAATAGGGAAAATTAGATTGGGTACCACTTTTTACACAAAAGTTATCACTTCTACCACATTTGAATCCCAATTATCATTCATACCACATTGTGTTTGTAAAATGACCATTTTACCCTCCAACTGGTGAGATAAGGAACTGCGATTGATGTGACCTTCCGAAATTTCTGCCTTCTTTTTTCTCTCTCCTGGTGCATTGGTAACCGTTTTCGTCCATTTGGCTGGTAAACAAAGTTGTCCCCGAGTAAATCCAGATCTTCGTCTTCGGCTCTCTGGCAGAATAAAATAAAGATCAAGTTGTCCCCGAGTTAATCCAGATATCTGGCTGGTAAAACCACATCATTTGGCGATGGATAATTAAGAGATGTTGTCCCCGAGTAAATTCAGATCTCTGCAGGCTGGTAAAACCATATCATCTGGGATTCATGATAATAGAGCAACCTGATGAAATCGGGGACAAGATCTAGACGCAAAAGAGAATTTTCAATCGGGGACAAGATCTGGAGACATCCATTTACTGTAGCTCCTTCCCCTGACACATTCCTGACGCAGGCAGAAGGGTAAAATCGTCCAACCTCTACCACACAAACACCAAAAGTGGTATGGATGCTAAATTGATTTGCAATGTGGTACATTTGCTAGAATTTTCTAAAATTGTTGCACATTTGGCAAAATTCCCAAATAAATATGTAATCAATATGTTGTGAATAGCTACAACAACGTGACGGAATTATCGGTAGCCGCGGACAATTCGAGGACTCCTAAGGAGAAGCCATGAGAAAAATCTTTAAAATCATCCAGATCAAAGCATAGGAAGAGTTTCCTCACATCTAGCTAGAATGCCAAACATAGAGTGCAATCTTTTTTTGTGATTCGCTTTTTATGAAATTCGCCGTTTTATATTCTTATCGTTGTAGTGATGATGTATTTTGTACTTCCCTCAATCATACAAATGGCTTATTGTTTTTTTTTCATAAATATACAAGCTGAATGATATATCATAAAAGTTATTTCATATGATAATTAATTTGCTGAAGTCAAAATAAGGGATTTATAAAACAAGTTGCTGACAAACCATATGACAATAAATGTCAATATATATATGCTTGGTTCTTCCTAGCAATATCGGGGTTGGTGCGTGCAATCTGAAGAGCTTAAGTTGAGTCAAAATATTACACAATCTAAGTTTGAACTTTGAAGCTTCAATAATGTACATGTAGTGGAAAGCATTCTTTCATGGATTCATTTGAGACTCAAACATGGAGCTAGAATTGATAGGGATATCATATTTTTCATAGTCTATAATGTTCCAAACCTTTGGGGTTTTGTTTGTTTGAATAATGAAAAATGAAAAGTAAAAATATCATTATCTTTCAACGTTAAAATTTGTTTTCTAAAATGTTTTGTCTTTCTATTTTCTTTTTCTTTAGAAATGATTTGGATTATATAGGCTCTATTTTAAGTATCTAGGTAAAGCATATTATTGGTTACGTAAGGTGAACTTCCAATCTTTTCTTAATTTGGACTCTTTGTAATCTCTTGATGCGGTCATCAAACCAAGCAACAACCATGGTGGAGACCGAGACCCATTTCACACTACCGGCTCAAGCATGCTTAGCTTATTCGAGAAGACCCATGAGCCTTGTTCAGACGAAATAAAGACCAAGATCAATTGTTCCATATTAATGACTATTTAAAATACGTTCTTAGCTCATCTAGAGCACACCTCGAAGTGGAATCAGCCTCAGAGGCGTTCACAAGAACAAAATATGAATTTCTTAATCCGGTTGAACCTGAATTTACCCTGCTTGGACCTACATGTACTATTTGGAGATTTCCGATCGAACCAGAAGAAATTAGGCAACAAATCGACCTCTTCTATAATCTTGATCCTTCAGAGAATCTCAGACATTTGTGATCAGCCATATAATTTATAAACAGACACAGAGACACTTGCATATATGTATAATATTAATCATAAAGCATAAACATAAATTGGTTCATTTGTGGGATTGTGGAGAATAAAAAGACGCTAAGAAAACATCAAAAACAACAAAAAGACGATAAAGCACTAGAGGAAAGAAGAGAAGCAACAATGAATGGAGGAAACAAAGATTCAAATTATATTTGGATAATCTCAGTTCTTACGAAGTACGATATATATGAGGTATTGCATTGCGGGTTTGGCTTTCTAGAGGCGAGTAAATTCTTTGAGATTTTTTGTTTACAATTAATTTTCTAACCGTTTTCAACTATAACTTAAGCACAAACTGAATAAATACCACTAAATATTGTTTAAGAAGAATATCTATCATTGACTTTTAAAAAAAAAATAATGATAGTAGAAAAAGAGACTCAAATGACCAAAAAGACGTCATTTGGTTAAAGATATCGTATCGTTTGAATCAACATAAATAAATCGTTTACTAACTCTATTTAGGTCAATGTAGTTTTAAGCTTGTTTCCATTAGTTTGGATGGTTTAACTGAATACTTTTAGCGTTGATGTTGAAAAAAATCACGGTATTTTTGTTGTAGTATAAAAACGTACGACACATTTGTTAAAGTTGAAATACACCATTTCTATGTAGTGAGCTGAAAGAGTAATATGCCAAAGACAAATACACCGATGTTCTTTGAGGGATGACCTATAGATAAGTACTCAGGTGCAAGTGGTCTACGGTTCTGACTCTGTGGACCGCAGTTTTCACGTGTGAGTTCATATGGTCTAGAAGCTTGGCTAACTCAAAATCTTTAACAAATGCTTGAAAGTCCTTATCCAATTAAATGTTAGCTACTTTCACAACTTGGTCTATGATTCCTCTAGTTGTCCAATCCCAACCACTATATTTTTTCTAATCGATGAGTCTAATGGTGATTTTCTTTGGATATTATCTATAAAACAAATTATGTGGTAGTGACATTATAAAATAATTATTTACGTCACTTATTAACTCTGTTGTAGTGGTATGCCAGAGCTAACTTTAGAATAAGAATTTTAGATGATATTAATTATTTATAAACTATAAGAGACTAGAGACTTTGAAATTTCTAAATTTCTTACACTAGAATCTTTAAATTAAGAAACTTTCAAACTTTTTTATATAATATAGTCAAAAACTTTCAATTTTTAAAAATATTTTAAAACTAATGATTTATATTCTCACGAGAAATATCATATAGCATCAGAAACAATCCAAAACTAAGGCTTCGTCTTGCTATTGTCCCTAAAAATACAGTAAATCCTTCAAAATCCATCTTTTCCATAAACTATATATATCCCCTGTGGTGGTTCTTTTTCAATAATTATGAGCATTCCAAATTAACCTTGATAAACTTCATACTGTATATAGGTTTCCGAAATTTAAAATAAGAAATTTAGAAATTATTAATCACTTATATTTAACATAATCACTTAATACATATCAAAATCTAATTGGTTATTTGACATGCATCACATGCAAGACCATAAGTTATAATACTGCATGTCATGCTTACGTTGAACGTATCCAAGTTACACTGACAAATCTCCTAAACCTATTAATACTTCATTTTCTATATGAAGGTTCGTTATTTGTGCGAATTTAGAATTACTTTTGCAGACTTAATTATATGATTATAAGGATTTAATTCTTAATCTTATATTTCAATTTGCAAACTTTGTTTATGTTTAAAAATTTTAGTGGATCATATAATTATTTAACACATTTCATAATCTATTTGATTATTTGACTCATGTCACCATACCGCGAGATATATAGTTTATGTTGAAGTTGAACACAATCAATTTTCTATAACAAAACTGTTTTCTTTTTCCCGGAATTTCCAGATATTTTATTGTCATTATATTGCTCTTTGAAGGACAAGGAATATTACTATAAATAAGCGTAGAGAAGTTCATGGATTATCAGTACTCTCATCACAAACCAAAGTATCAAACAAGAAAAGAATTGTGAGAAGAATAAAGAGAGATATCATGACTACTACTCCAGATTGGATCATGATTGGAGGAGAAGGTCCTGAGAGTTATAACCAACAATTGCTAGAAGTGGCAAAGGAAAAGATGACCGAGGCGATCTCAGTGAACCTCAGCCTCGATTTGATTTCCAACCGGTTCAGTATAGCAGACTTCGGTTGTGCGAGTGGAACTAACACTTTTGTGTCAGTCCAAAACATAATTGATGCGGTAGAAGAAAAATACCGTAGAGAAACCGGACAAAAACCGGCAAACAACATCGAGTTCCAAGTTCTCTTCAACGACTTTAGCGTCAACGATTTCAACACTCTCTTCCAAACACTTCCTCAAGGGAGAAGATACTATAGCGCTGGGGTTCCTGGTTCCTTTTTCGCCCGTGTTCTTCCTAAGGAGAGTTTCCACATCGGAGTCATGAGTTACACATTCCATTTAACCTCCAAATTAAAAATTCCCAAAGGGATCATGGACCGTGACTCTCCCTTGTGGAGCAAAGACATGCAGTGCACCGGGTTCAACCAAGCGGTAAAGAAATCATATCTTGATCAATACTCTATCGACACCAATAATCTATTGGATGCTAGAGCTGAAGAGCTCGTGCCCTGGGGATTGATGTTGCTTTTAAGATCGTGTCTTAGAGACGGAGTTAAGATGTCTGAGACCCCTAAAGGAAAAGTAATGGACTTGATCGGAGAATCGCTTAGTGATTTTGCTCAAAAAGTACATAATTTTAACTTAAATGATTACCTACAATTATAATACATAATTAAGTACTAACTAACATTTTCTTTTAATTGGTCTTTTATTTAAAATAGGGTTTTGTGCAAAAAAACCCTCGAAGTAGCCAATTTTTGCAAGAAAACCCTCCATCTCAAATAAATGCAAGTCAATACCGCCATCTCAAAAATCACCTGCAATATAGCCCTCGCGTGTATCGATGACGTGGCAGCCGTTAACTCCGTCAGTGGGTTTTGTGAAAAAAAACCCTCGAAGTAGCCAAATTGCAAAAAAACCCTTCATTAAACCAATTTTTGCAAAAAAAAACCCTTTCGGGTATTTTAAAATTCGGGTACGGGTTCGGGTTTACCTATAATACCCAAAAATAAAAATTGTTGTATGTAAATCTATCCACCCTATTGTTCGTACCGAAGTTGCAATAATAAATAAGTACGAGTTTTTGGGAGCGAACGGAGATATTTCTCTTATTAACGATAATCGTGCTTCTGTGATTACAGAGATGGAATTCGAGTGAACGAGAATACGAAATATACGCAAGAGTTAGCTATGATTTTTAGAGAAGTAATATATGTTTTGTCGAGGCTCTGAGCCTTACAGAAGGTGATTCCGTGCCGGGCACGTTTTTCGAGGCTCTGAGTCTTATAGAAGTTGATTTCGTGGCTTGCACGTTTTTCGAGGCTCTGAGCCTTACAAAATATTTTGTCTCTTTTGCGACGAATTTGGGCTTTTATAGAAGATTTTCTGGTTTTACAGAAAACTTATGTAAATTTTACAGAATTCTTCTGTTAAACCCTAGATTTTTCCTTCTCCTATAAATGGCTCCACCATGTCTTACTTTGCAGAACAAGATAAGTTGGACTCTTTCAAAATCTCATTTTACTTTGCAGAACAAAGCGAGATAAGGCAAATCATTGAGGAGAATGAGAAGCTCACAATCAAGGCTTTTGAGGATATCATTCACTCTAAAAATGATTTTCCTCTAGACCCCAAAATATTGGCCGTCTCTTACAAGGCTTTCTCTGGAGCTTTCATTTCTGCACATTTTGGAATAGAAACCATGGGGAAAGCCTTTGAGCTTGCTGAGGTCAAGGCACGCGAAGAGATTTCTCGCCTCTAGAATGCCAAACTCGGGATGTAGTACCTCATCGTGCTTCGAAAGAATTGATCCATTGTTGGATATGGGCTTCGTCCTCCTAATATTTGAGCCGGCCCATTTAGAAAACAATATCCTCTTTGAAACGTTGACCGGGAAGTCAACTCCGAACAGCCCACTATGAAGAACTCCAGGCCCATTGAGCGAACAACCTGTCAAAGAGTCGGCCCATCAGATAGCGAACGCCGCCAATACCGCACGTGCGACCTAATAATCCCATATCGATCCCGAAAAGGATCGAGGTGTCATATCACTGCTATAAAAACAAGTACCTGACGGCAAAGAAGGGACAACTTGGACTGGTGTGGGAATCAGGAATTATCCCGTTCTAACCCATAATTAACTAGGCTTGATACTTCAACTAGTTAGATCGTCCTATCATTGTATTTATCCGATCGGCATTTGAATCCCACATCACTGCTTTTTGTTTCGATCCCATATTTGTTCACGCTACGATCATCATTTTGAATGCAGGAGCTGTGAAGAACCTGGAGATGTGGTTGTGGACATTGATTCCCCTGCTGTGCGTTGGTTTCAGAATCGGCATGGTATACCCAAAACCCCTCAAGGGTTGAAGAGGATTTTGGTTGTTAGACGAAGCGGCGAGAAAGCCGATGTTTATTATGAAACAGAAGCTCCTAAACGAAAGAGACTAAAGTGTTTCAAGGACGTCGCTAAGTTTATTGAAGACAATGAACAATTCAACGACATGAAGATATAAGAGGTTTATTTTGCCGCACCCAAACGGATGAAGAAAAAAAGTCTAAGTAAGGATGTTGCAGTTGCTGATAAGTGATAACAAGACTTGACAAGATCACTAAGTTAAGGTTTATTATGTCTCTTTAGTTTCTTTCTACATATGTGATGAACAAAACTCAAGCACTAGGTTTATTATTATTATTATGAATTTTAAGGCTTAAAAAAAAAAAGGAGGAAGGAGGGGGGGGATGTAGGACCATTTTAATACCTTTCAAAGTTTTTTTCTGCTTCAACTAAGGAACCAGCTTCCTGTTAATAGAGTCTTGCTTTCAAAGACGGTCCCGATCTCGCGTAAAGTTCTCTGAAAGGTCCTGAAGGATCTTAGCGACGGGATTTACAAAAGAAAATAACCAAAACAAAGAAAACAATCAGCAACAAAAGAATTTCAAACGACTTCGAACGCGAAGCTAATCTACTGACTACTACCAGGATGAAGGTTCCATTCAGTCTTATAACTAATGGAAGGATTCTCTAAAACGTGTTCGTTAACCTTCACATAGAAGTATCAATCCATCCACTTATGAGTCTTGGAAGGACCATTATAAACGAATTTGGGAACAGCGTTCGCATAATACGTGTCAGGCAGGTCCAAAACCTTCGAGAAGGTACTCGCCTCCTCAAAGAAGTGAGCGGTTAGTTTTACTCCACACTGCTCGGCACGCATCTTCAAAGCAACCATATTCCTGATCGTCGCAGCTGTAAACTAGGAGAACGCCAATTGACGATTCCAGCAATATTGCATAAAGAAGGCCGGGAGAGGGAACCGAAGATTGAACATAGTAAAGTACACCTCATTCAAGCATATATAACCCTTGGGACATTTCTTAGAACGATCGGCCGGCCAGGAATGGCAAATTCAAGCTCGTGAGCAGGTCGACAAAAGTCAACCATGTCCTGAAGAATCTGAGGCGTGATCACAGTCTTGCTGACGTCGATAGGCCCGACTTCATCGTCTCCATCGGCGATCTCTACACGAGCAATCTCAATAGCTCCTTCCAAACCAGGCTCATCGTTGGCAGAAGAATTCGAATCAGAATCAGCGTCGTCCTCATCACAGAGATATAAAGAAGAGTGTCGACCAGATGACGAAGCAAAAGCATCCCCATGAGAGCGCGTCGAGTTCCTCCTAAGGCTAACCACGTTAGGATCAGACTTGCCTCATCAGAGGTTGATCCCCTCTCGTCCCAGGAGTATGGTGACCGGTCGGCATCAAATGACCTGTAACCGGAATGCCCTCTAAGAACTCCTCGCCCGAATTTGTCATAAACGATACAAATGAAAAGAAAGCATTAATAATACGACGAGGTGATATTACGACGAACGCTAGAAACTAAGAAGATGACGAGCTCTAAAAAGAGAACAAAATTAGATGCAAAAGAACGAGACGAGTACCTAATAATCTTGATGAATGATAATAAAATAGAAAAAGTGAGGAACTAAATTACTATTTATAGCCAAAAAGGGGAATAAATGCGAAACACGCCTACCAATAGGAACAGAGTGTACCTTTGCTCGTGGAACTCGGAAACTACGCCCGTGTGGAATAATCATGACCTTACAGCACAAACACCGAGGATTCTCACTAAAAATAAAAGAGGGTGGCGCCAATAAACCCTAAGAAACGAGACTCTTCCATCATCCTCGGCTAAAGCAACTCGTTCAAATGGACTGGAAGGCTAACTTTTGGATATGGGCTTCGCCCTCCTAACATCTGAGCTGGCCCATTAAAGAAACAATATCCTCCTTGAAACGTTGATCGGGCAGTCAACGCCGAACGGCCCACTCAGAAGAACTCCAGGCCCATTCAGCGAACAGCCTATCAAAGAGTCAGCCCGTCGGATAGCGAACGCCGCCAATACCGCACGTGCGACCTAATGATCCCACATCGATCCCGAAAAGGATCGAAGTGTCACATCACTGCTATAAAAGCAGGTACCTGACGGGAAAGAAGGGACAACTTAGACTAGTGTGGGAATCATGAATTATCCAGTTCTAACCCGTAATTAAGTAGGCTTGATACTTCAACTAGTTAGATCGTCCTATCATTGTATTTAGTCGATCGGCATTTGAATCTATTGATATTCTACTGATCCCCGGTTAAGTTCAATAAAAAATGTTTTTTGTTCCGATCCCATATTTGTTCTCTTCTAGGTTCGTGTTCATTGGATCATCATCCATGATCCAAATATGTTGTTAATTTATGTGTTTTCCTCAGTTGTTGCTTCTCTTCTTTCGCCAATCTCATGATACTTTGTCGTTTTTCATTTTTTTCTCTTGCTGGTTATGTCTTAACGTCTTTGTATTCTCCCCTATCTTTCAAATTAATAAAAGCTTCACTTCACACTTACACGTTTACGATGATTAAAGATCCCTAGAATCTGATTTTCATATCATTTCTACATTTTCTGTTCTTTTCTAAATTTTTATTTCTTAAAAAATATAATTTTAATGACCAAAACGACGTCGTTTTGTTAAGACAAAATGATAACTCGTCATTGAGCTTAATTATTAGCAATCGCCTAGCTCATTGTAATTGATTCATCAATTAATTAACTTACTGGTAATTTCTTTTTCAAAATACGTTTTCTTAATATATATATATAGGTTTTAAAATACTTAAATCTTCCTTTGAAATGACATTAGACGATCCACTATATTTGTTAGCTTTGTTTTGTCAGAATACATTTTCTTTACATGCTTTTCATTATAGGTATTTAAGTTTATGATTAGTGTACACAACACAAAATGACAAAAGGCCGTTTGTTGATCTCACTTATTTGGAAGGTTAACGTTGGTTAATAACTGACCTTATAATAATTAAGTCAGTTCTTGAAATGACGTAGTAACGTCCGACAAGAAACTTCACTTATTTAAAGAAATGACGTGAAACATAACAACACAATCTTAACGTCAGAATATATAAAAATAACGCCGGTAGAAACCAACTCATATATAAAATAATGAAAGCATTTTATATGCAATATATATAGCAAATTTGTAATAACTTCTTATTAACTCTAAACAAAAAATGAAATAAACTTAATAAAAAAACAACTTAAATCAGAAAGAAAAATGATCCAAATAAATTTATATTGCTTGAATATGTATAGTTTTACATAAAACATTTTCCCTTAAAAACATGTAAAGTTCTGAAATATAATTCACAGCATGCCTATTAAAAAAAAAAACAAAGAAGCTAAGTAAGCGATAAGGTCCATAACCGTTGATGCATACAAAGAATTCTATTGCAATCAGAATGTATCATGTAAACGTAAAAATGCGGTTAATAAAGTAGGGTCGTTCTATTACATCGGTTTAACGACGCTAAGTCACATCTTTTTATTTTTAAGTCACTTAAAGGGACAAATATCTTATAGTGGTATATATGCAATAGCCTACCTTAGAAAGTATTAATTATTTATAAGCGCAATTAGAGACTAGAGACTTTGAAATCAGAAATATCAAACTTTTTATGTGATAGAGTCAGACAGTCAAATGAGAAACTTTCAAAAGACAGTCAAATGAGAAACTTTCAAACTTTCAATCTTTTCAATTTTTAAATCTTTCAAAAATATCAAAATAATTACATTTTTATTATAAAGAGTTTTAAAAAACTTATATTCTTTTTAATGTAAAAACATTTTAAAAATTTAATTAAAAAATTAGGAAAAAAATACTACAATATACAAATGGTTTTTTAACAGGATATAAATATACACTTCAAATGATAATATATCCGGTGACAAATAAAAAGGGAATACAAATTCACTTAAATATTAGCTAATTATAAATCTTCGATAGAAACTTTAAAACGATGAAATAATAATAGAACCAAAAAAACTTTTAAAACATTTTATAAAAGAGAACAGAGGGAGTAAACCTAAATTAAACTTTTAACATTCATTATAGAGAAAAGATTATTAAATTAAATATCAAAAATTAATGATTAATATAATGAGTTGAAAATATTAAAAACAAGATCATGAAATATTTTACTAGAAATACATATATCATTAGACTTTTAATCAAAAGATAGTACTGTATTTAACTTTAACATTGATCCTATATTATATGGTTACAAGATGAGTGTGAATAGATTTTAATTTAAATAAGTGCACTTCCAACTTATCTTCAGAAATTATATATATCATTATTATGGATAAAAGACATCAGAGAATCTAAATTATTATGGATTTATAATATTATAATGTTGAATCATCATATATAGCTTTGGAGGTAAGTGAGAAAAATAAAGTGTCAATAGGCTGAAGATCTGAAAAGATAACTTTTGTTAAAGGATATGACCAATTTCTATGTAAATTGTTTTCTAATGGCTAATAGGTATGTGGTTTTATATATGATTTGCTCGTTGATACAATATAGCTTAAAAAAAAAAAAACCAATACCTCCCAAAACATTTGACTTTTTTGGAAGCTTATGAGAAAAGTTTGATACATAAAACATATATAATCTGAATGGTTTGAAATAAGAAGTTCTAAAGTATAAACTAAAAGAGATAGTAAAGAATCCTTGGTCATATGATTTAGGGATTACCCAATAAATCACATAACAAGTAAGAATTCTCTCTTGGGGTAACATGTTTTTAACCTTGAAAATCTTGTGAAATGACGATTCATGACATACTAAATTTATGGGGGAATTAAGTATGGGGCTGCAATTTAAATTTGATACTAAAAAATAAACTAATTAACGTTGGTCGTCGTGAAGATGATTGGAATGACGGCGTTATCAGAAGTGAAGGGAAAAAATTCGCATTTTTTGGTGATGGATGTGTTACATGTTGTGACGAATGATAACTCTTATTATTAGAGAATTCAATGTTAAAAGAATTTATTTTTATCTAAAATCATGTATGAGATATTAAACTAATGGTAAACAAGTTGTAGCATATTAGTGGTTCCCGTCTTTGAGGTGTGTAGTCTCCTTGTTACTCTAGGCTAGGACGATTCCCTTCAATTTAAAGTGTCTCAAGAAAACTATATTGCACCTTGCAGTTTAGTCACATTTAAACGCTTTCAATACAAAAAAAAAAAAAAAAAAAAAAAAAAAAAAAAAACCAAAATTGTTTTGGGTTTTGTGATAATAAAATAGAGTTTCGATTTAACTTAATTTAAAACCATTAATTATTGTATTTTCCATTTTGTATTGTTATAAATCGTACCGTTATAATAGTTGTGTGAGTAAAACCCGCACTGGTAAATCGGAGAATTAAGGATGACAAGATGAGATTCAAGAAAGCATATTTCTTTTATTGGTTAAAGAACAAACTCGATGATATTACAAGAGCTTTCTAACAAGCTAAAAGAACAAGTTAGACTTTTTCAACAAGTTAAGTGTCTCGGGTTCTTGAGGTATGTCTTTTCGATTCGCCAATATATCTTGCTATTTATATCGAAGGTACCTGGGTTTTCGGATACTTTATCTTTTTTTATTTTTCGGAGGAGAATCTTTTCAGATATTTAGATAGATTCGGGTTAATCTTTTCATATTCTTGTGCCAGTCGGTTTTGGAATTAATTCCGTTGAGCTAATCAGGCTTTGTGCCATAAAATCGTTCTCACGATTGGACCGAGTTCGCGAGCTATTTGGTTTATTTTTGGTTTAAATCGAGACAACCGGATGCTAAACCACTTCCAACAATAGTCTTGATGTCATCTATCCACCAATAAGATCTGCACATATATAAACAAACCATAAATAAATTAACAACTCAAATTTTATTTACTTCAAATTTTAACTGAAAAAGTTCACACAAAAATGATTAACACCTAAAAATAGTGCTTGTTGCAAATAGCTCGGTGGTAGCACTGAAGCATGGGCCAGTGAGCTTCTGTTTACGAACTCGATTGATCAAACACACTTTACAAACTGAACAAAAGATGTAAGCAAAAATAGATTTGTTCTCCACAATATAAAACACAACATCAACTTCCCTCCAAACTCTATCATGAATTGTCAAACATAAGACCAACTATATAATATTTAATTTAAAGTTGAATAACTATATAGTTAAAAAAATATATGTTACTGTTTATAGTCCAACTTTGAAATAAGAAGCAAGAGTATGTAATTATAATATTTCATCTGCATTTACATTATTAACTCACAAAAGTAGTTTTTAGACATGGAATAGTAAACTTTAATTTATAAAATCTTTTAAAAATACTACAAAATTATTATTCATCTAACATATAAACCAAAATTTATAAATAATATTTTTATTAAACTATTTTCAAATTCGGCCATCTCATATTCTTGGGCCGTCACCGAATCTCTCACCATCTCATATTTCGTGTTGATCTAGATAAAGAAATCTTCTTTGACGGCTATGATCTGGCCTGTTACATTGACAAATCTCCTAGAGTGTAAATATTCTACAAGTTAATATTTTGATAAATCAAAACCT